CCACCCACGCTTTTGGTTGATTAGCGACCCAAACCGAGTTGACAGTTGAAATAATGCGATTGCCGTTCTTTTCTTTACAAATGACAAGTGGAGGCAGCTTTCGGCCGGTTACCGTCACAGCTAGCACCGTGGTGACACGCATCGATGCGAAGCCTGTAGAGCGCAGCACAACATGACGCGAGCTAATCACATCGACGGTTGTATCCCTCGGGTCTTCAAACTACACGGCAGTTTTGTCCATCAAGACGGTGTGCTCCAGGTCAAATTTTGGAAGGTTACTGGTGAGGTACTTCATGTAGCCGATCGCACGACCAACCAAGGCTTCGTCGGAGAGAACGGTAAGGTTTGTTCGCTTTCGGAGCGAGAGATCATTGCGCTTCATGAACTTGGAAATCCATGCGTCCGACGCTACAAAACGATTCCCAGTCTCGTCCAGGGAGGCGTACAGCTCTTTTGCAGCCAACCCGATCCATTCTCTTGTCACTTTTTCCTTGCGAAGGCGACGGTCGATTATTGCGTCTAGATGAAGATCTTCCAGTGCACCAAGAAGCGGCTTCCTGCCGCCACCATGCAGTCGTTTTTGATGCGGTTGGGCGGCCATTATTCCCTCCTTATTGCGCCACCACTTGCGATAAGTAGAGGCATCGACGTCCCACCCCAACTTGCGAAAGTGTGGCGCCACGCGGCTAGCAACACCACCTCCCTGCTCGCCGATCCACTTAATAGCCTCTTGCTTCTTCGCGATGTCGATTGCTTGACGCATGGTAATATGAAGTTTGTGATTGAATTGTGTATCCGAATGCGGTCTCCTATTCGAAGCGATCTTTTATTTCTGGAACGTTCTCGAAAATATAGGGGGCGGTCTTCTAATAGTAAGGGGTCTTCTATTCGTAAAAATCCGTTATATTCAACATGACCCCCCCCCCCCCCCCCCCCCCCCCGCCCTCTCAGGGCCGACAGGCATTCTTCAACCAACAATCCTCCCAGCAACGGCACCAAAATCGGCGGTGGGACGCCGGCTATCCTGCGGTAAAACCTCTTCCGGACTCATACGTGCGATGTATGGCTGCCCAATGGCAAAAGAGCACTTATCAATTATCTAAGAATATCTTGAGTGCGCGGAATACCATCACTTTGGCCTCATACGCTTCCAGCAGCATATCGTTTGCCCTGTCGGGTCCCTTTACACCATAGGGACGGCCTTGAGAAATGGCAAGAGAGGGAGGAGTAGGCGATGTGTCTTACTCGAGTAACTATGCGTCATTTAATCTATTGTTGCAGATTGGCGTGTAACACATTATCAATAGCTTAGAGCGCGAAATGGGTCTCCATTCTATCAAGTCGTGTTATCTAGGGTGATTATGCACGGCAGCTGATCGGGTAAGCTTCTGCGCCTATACAATATTGCGCAGTGCATCTGTTGCTACAGGGTTAGAAAGCGAATGA